TTTTATTAATTTATTTGAGAGAGAGAGATAGCAAGAGAGAACATGAGCAGGGAGGAGAGGGAGAAGCAGGTTCCCTGCGTGCAGGGAGCCTGACACTGGGCTTGATCCCAGGACCTGAGACCATGACTTGAGCCAAAGACAGAGGCTTAACCGACTGAACCACCCAGGCACCCCAAATAAATAAAATCTTTTTTAAAAAGTTCATATAGACTTTTCTATTACTTGTTGGTTATTTCCTTACCACACTCTGAAGTAAAACAATCAAGTTGGCCAACTGTAGAAATCACCTGAATAGAAGATGACTTGAAAATGTGTTTCTAATGAAACCCACGCTATTGCTCAAATTGCATCAAGTAAACTAAAAACGTACCTCGTGTAAGGTTGGCTATTATCTCATTATAAAATGGCAAAATTCTAGTTGTCAAAAGAGAGGGGTGTGGGAGTGCCTGGCTGGCTTAGTCGGTAGAGCATATGACTCTTGATCTTGGGGATGTGAGTTCGAGCCCCATGTTGGGTGTATAGAGCTTACTTAAAAATTAAAAAAAAAAAAAGAGAGAGAGAGAGAGAGAGGGGTGTGGTCTTTATAGAACTTAACAGAAGGAAGAACAGGTAATATAACCCAGTCATAGCTGGCCTACACAGTATGAGAGAAAATACTCTCAAAAACTGCCCCAAGTATTTAAGAAGGTAGTCTGTGAGAAAACAGACATGACTTTCTGGGGTCTATCAGAGCTCCGGATAAGTATATAAAGAGCTACTCAAAATCCTGACCAAACTGGTATCCATCTAACAGCACATTGGTAATTCTTTTCCTCTTACTGTCCATTGTTTCATATTTTTACCATGACCTATCCTTTGTTGAGAGCCAGGCATCCTGCAACACACTTTTTTTTTTTTTAGATTTATTTATTTATTTGAGAGAGAGAGAGGAGAGGAGGAGGAGGGGCAGAGGGAGAGGGAGAATCTCAAGCAGACTCCCCACTGAGTGCAGAGCCCAATGCAGGACTCGATCTCATGACCCTGAGATCATGACCTGAGCCAAAATCAAGAGTTGGATGCTTAAATGACTAAGCAACTCAGGTGACCCCATGCAACACACTTCTTAAGTCATTATTTACCTCATAGGTCTCATTACAACTTTTTCCATGTGGAAGGTACTATTATTATCCATGCTTTACAGGCAAGAGTGGTTTCCAGAGGCTAAGCCACTTGCTCAATGTCTCATAGCCACTGTGTAGGGAAGCCAGAAGGCAGACCCAGTCTGCTTGGCCTTAAAGGATAAGACCATAACCTGCTTCCTTGACAGACTCTCAGAACAGTGTCCCAAAGAGCCAACATGCACCTTCTCATTTTGGCAAGGCATAGCTCCCCTTCACCCTCACCTGCTAGTTACAAATGAAAACACTGAACCAATGAATTTCAGGAGCCATCATTCATGCATTTTCACATTAGTTTCCCTGGGGTTTGCCCCAGCGATTCACACTGGAAGAGATGAACCCCCAACTGGAGGACCAAACACAACCTAAGGTGAATCTCCTCCCAAAGCATTCATTCAACACTCACAGATCAATTGTCACAGATGAATCTGGGGAACCAAGCATGGCCTGCAGATAGGTTTTATTTGACCCACATTGTCCTGTGCTGTATTAGAAATTGCTCACTCCTGTCATCAGATCAGGCTTGGTGTAAGTGGTTCTCCTTCTATGTCTACAGAACTTTTGTCTTTTGGCTTTACCCTCACGTTTCCTGACCGTGCTACAAGGCAATCAGGTGAACCCACTGAGCAAACTGTACATACGCTTACTGTCTTTCAGTAAGAACAGAGAGTTGAGTGTTACCTAGCTTGGAGACACTATGATTTGTACCTGTCAACATCACATTTCAAAGGGAAGGTTGCGGCCCTTCCTAAAGGTGAAAGATCCAGCTTTACAAATTACTATAGGAAATAGAAAGTCACATGGCTCCTGTTCTTACATAAGGGTAAATATCTCTATTCATTTGAAATCTAAACAGTATGGCTTAACCACATTGACAATCTTGGAAAACAGGTTTGGACTTCCTGAAAACCAAAATATACCACAATCCAATTTATTCATATTAAAGGTCAACTGTCAACTCCCAGTAATGATATTTATTTTTCTTAATAATTTCTTTTATGCTCTGTCCTTCAAATCCCATTTCCTTTTTCAAAGAAGTTAGCTTATGAGTTTTTTATGAAGGGCAAATACAATGTATATATTCTAAAATGATAGGCTAAGGATAACACTTTTTGTTATTCATCATCACCACCAATTACATATGTATTATTATCTTCTGGGTCCATGTGAACCATACGCTGTGTTCCAGGAACTTAGCCTAGCACTCAGTTACCTCTTTGGGTTACAGTTGATTTTGTGGCAATCAAGACCTCACTAGAGTAGAATCTGCTATTCACTATAACTTCATTTATTCTTTTAGCAAGTATGTACTGAGTATATACTGCACACCTAGTATGTAGAAGCAAAAGAGAGAGGAGAGGGGACAAAAATAAGGGAGAGATTTTATCCATCATTCTATTCAATGAGCTCGTGGTTGAGAATAAATGGGAGGTTTGAAGTTGTGGCCCTTTAACAAGGCTTTAGTTCCTGTGTCCTCAAAGCACCAGCATCTCACAACCCTGAGATTTTTCTAGCATTTATTACATGCTTGGTAAACACCAGCAACTTACATGTTAGAGCCTAACTAAAGAAACAGCTAGGGGCGCCTGGGTGGCTCAGTTGGTTAAGCGACT